AATCCATTCCCTTAGTTAAAGTACTTTGGCACCATCATGGAGTGGAAGAAGTTACTTGGGAAAAGGAAGTAGAAGTTCAAGAAAAATACCCTGAATTGTTTGGAGACATGTAATCATATCGACTTTTGTGATGTTAATGTTTGTACTGTGGCTAATTAAATAGGAATGAGCCTTTGGCGAATGTACTATGTGGAAATTGTGAAAGGTTTATGATGTTTTGATCATTGAGAAGCCAAATTTTGTATTATACGGATGCTATAATAATTTGGGGGCATTATAAGATTGGTATTTGTCTTCTTGGGCATTGTTTAAATTGCTTTTGGTAGGGATTATCGAAATTTTGGGGACGAAATTCTTTAAGGAGGGTAGGTTGTGGCACCTGAGTTTTTCGCTCTACTCGAGCGAAGCTTTTCTCGCTCGAGCGTAGATATCTAGCTCCTATTAAATGGCAATTTTGCAGGCGGGCCGCTTAAGCGAAGAAGTTGTTGCTCGAGCGTAGAATACATGCTCGCAGTAATTTCACTGTAGCTCTGCAAAACTTCCGGGACATGCTCTTTCTCACTTGAGCGAAGGAAGTTGCACTCAAGCGAGCTCTCTTAGTTGTGTCGTACGCTCAAGCGTCAAGAGTTGCGCTCTAGCGACCTGTCGGGGACAACAAATTTTAAAAGTTGATTCCAAGTCATTTTCTTTTTACTTTTCCATCATATCTCTCTCTCTAACTCTATCTTTTCTCAAACCCTAGCTCACAAAACCTTAGATTTCTCCAATCTTGAGTCAAGATCCATCCAAGATCTCCCAAGAATAGTTGAAAGGAAAGCTAGATCAACACTTTCATCGATTGTTTCGCTAGATCATCGGAGTACGAGTGTGAATTGCAACTTTAGGTTACCAACTTGAGATAGGGGTGTCTTTAACTCTTTATATCTTCAATTTGAGTTAACTTATGTGGTATTTCATAGCTATTCATGGTGTATCTATATATATATATGTGTGTGTGTGTGTGTTTGTGCATGTATATATCTTGTGTTGTAATCAAAGTTGAGAAGAAGGGGAGGAATACTCAATAATTATGAAAGAAACTTTATTTTTGTTGGATAGGTATCAATGTTATGATGGAAAATTTCCTCAATTACATAAAGGAGAGAAAATCCCTAATTTTCTTAAAACCTTATTTTCTTTTTCTTTTTTTAAATTTAATTTACAAAAAAAGATGGAGGGCTTTGCTCGATTGAGTTCCAATGCATGAAATTGAGTGTAATTACTTGACTTTGAAATAGGAATATGTGATTTAAAGGTTTTTCCTTGATACACACCTCGAGTTGATGATTATTGTTGGAAGTAAATCCTTAAGTTAAGAAGTGTAAAGAGGTAGATTCTTTTAGGGAATGGCATCATTTTAGGTAAACCATACTTTAATTGCAAATTCATACATCATATGCATTGTCAATTCTTTTGGGTCTATCTTTGCATAAATGGTTGAAGGGTAATGGTGGTAATTAGCCTATGAGTCCGGGTAGTGAGTTGAGTTGGATTTGAGTTGTGTTTTGTAATTGGTACCCGTACGGGGAGTTAAGGTGCCCAATTGCTATGTCTATGCACATCGCCGGACAAATGTGGAGAAAATGTTTTTGGATGTCCATAAGCCTGCCGTTTCTGGAGTCGGCAAATGTGAAAAAACATAGTTTTGGGTGTCCATATCCTCGCCGTTTATGGAGCCGGCAAATGTGGAGGGTCTAGATGTTTTGAGTGCCCATCGCCCCGTCGTTTCTGGAGTTGGCAAACGTGGGGTTATTTTCAATATGTACATATATAACTATAATTATCTATGTATGTTTTTATTTTTGACTCTTACTTGGGATGTCATGGCTGAGTTACCGCCCAATGAGAACGTGGCAAAGATGAGGTAGATTCCAAACATTGCATCATTTTATTTGCATACTCAAACATTGTTTTACATTCTATTCCTACATTCTCAAGAGTTGCATTGCATGAGCATAAGTCTTTCAATTGATTATACAATTTGTTAAATGCATTACCTACTGAGCTTATGCTCACTCCAAAAACTAACAAATTTCAGGAACAGAAGACTAGGTACCTCTCAAGTGATGATGTCAATGAGAAAGCATGTTTTATTGTAGCTTATTGATCTATTTGTTAAAGTTTTGTGGGGTGTGATGATGATAATTGTATTCAAGGGTTGATTTTTGTGTCTCAGTTTTGTGAAAAACATTGTTGCGAAGTGAAAGCCGTGTGGATTTAACTGTTGTTTATTTAGTTCGTTTCTTTTGAACTGTTTTAATATTTTGAGGGATGTAACGGAACAATTATGTAAATTTCTTTTGGGAATAATTCAAAGGGAAAGAAAACCTTGACTACATTGTTATATTATTCTATTTGTCTAGACCATGTATGTTGGTAATGTTTGGGAGAACAGTTTATGGAATGGGTCTTTCAGGGCGTTACAAGATGAGAGAGAAGAAATTTAAAACTCATACATAAGATGTGTGCACAAATAGGGGATGATGAAACAAATTGACTAGTGAGAAAGTAAAACATGCATAGATTAGAGACAGAGGCTGTCAATGGTGGTAAGGCGCTAGTAGATGATGGAGCGTCAGTAGATGCGGTTCAAAGAAAGAGAAAAAGAACAAATACTGGTGGATGTGGTGACGACATCGAAAATACGGTAGAGATAGTACTGAAGATAGATCGTAGAGAGAAAGAGAGAGAGTCGATTAATGAAAAATTAGAGAAAAAAATTGGGGTTCCTAAGATTAAAATGATATTTTGGTTCATATATGGCAAAGTTTGTCTTTATCTTTCTAAAATTTTAAATCTTAGGGACCTTAGTTACCAAACTAATGTTTGTTATCCTTAAACTCTTGCACAAACATATCTGGAGAACCTCTCTCTAATTTTTCCGAATGAGAAATTAGCGTTAGTTTTGAAAAATAATTATAGATTCATGATAAACTTTATATATTTTAATGATTAAAATCATAAACTTTTCTGTAAATCTGTAATTATTTATGATACTTTTTTATTTGTAAATTCTCCAAAATTATAATACTCTTTAATTTTAGATTTTTTAAAAAATATTTTTTTTATTTCTAATTCAATTTTTTTTTGATAATTTTTTTTTTTTTAATTTAGAGAGTAATGCTACATTCACCGAATTTGGCTTCTCTCGAATCGTCCAAATTTGTGCATGTCGGTCGTCTGGCCAGTCATCCAACAGATGTCGATTGACATATTTGTTGACAAGGGTTATAGTCACGGTTGACAAGGGCGACAACTATGGTTGACAAGGGTGATACCGGTCATCCGGCCATTTTACATAATTCGGGCGAACTCAAATTTAGTGTATCAATCAATTTTCAATTTTTAGATCTATTTAATTTAGATACACTTGCAAAATATAAAATTTGTGAAATTTATTTTTAAATAGTTCAATAACTATAAAAAAATATAAAAATTTTAGTTTTTAAGTACATTTATATTAGATACATCTAAAAAATTAAAAAAAATTGACTAAAATATGAAAAAAAGTTCACTACAAATAAGAAACACAAAAACCAAAAAACTGAAAAATTATTTTTGGGTAAATTACCAATATATCATAATAGTTGGATTTAATTCTCATTAAAATCTTATTGAAAGTTAATCCTAGTAAAATCGTCGCTAAAAATAATTTTTTTATGACCATTTTTTGCACATTGCTAAAAATTGATAATTAGTGACTTTTTGTTGTCACGATTTTTATAAATTGTTGCTAAAAATTACTATCAGTGAAGTTTTTCTGTGACGAATTTTTCAAACTGCCGCTCAAAGTTTAAAATTAGCTCATTTTTTATGACTTTTTTTTTAATTTTTGCTAAAACTTATAATTAGTGACATTTTTTGAAACAAAATTTTCAAACCGTTGTTGAAAATTAACAATAATAGTGTTTGATGAAAAACACCATTAATTATCACAAGACTTATTGACTAATAAGTCCATCTATTACGACCTATACATAAGTCCCCCTTATAAATACCCATTGTCAAAAAAATTTATTTAACAAAATTAACTGAAAAAAATTTCTAACTACTCTCTGATACAATGATAAAATTATCTAAATTATTAATTGAAAGAAATTTCTAATATCATTAAAAACTATTAATTGATTTGATGATTTATTAATAAAAAGGGTCATTTGTTATATAATTAAAATTTTCAAGTGAATGAATGTAATTTTTAGAACCACAAGAAATAAATTGTATTTTAAGTAAATTTCAAAAGGTGTATTTATAATTTACCCTTTTCAAAAATTATACTCACATCTCTTTCTTGGAATTGAGAAAAATTATAAGTTTTTTTTTTCCTCCCTAAGAAACATTTTCTATTAGCTTAAGGACAAGTAAAATATATGTGTTAGTTTGGCATTAACTTATTTTTTCAAAAAATTATTCCAAGTGTTCACTACAGGAAATATAGAATTTAGCGGCGTTTATTTAGCGACGTTTTTTTAAACACCACTGTTTCTAACCTTTAATGACGTTTTATAAACGTCACATTTTATATTGATTAAAACGGTACCGTTTAAGGAATAGAAGTCGTTTTTTAAACGCCTTCACGTGTTACAATAGTATTCCTCCCCCCTCTCTTTAGCTCTGGGAGAATCAAAACCCTTCTCTCTCTCTCTGCGCCCTCATTTAGAATCTGGGAAACATTCAGAGTCTTAGAGATTACGATTCAGAACCCTTCTAGCTCTCTCTCTAAACCCTTCAGTCTCAGAGATTATGATTCAACCTTCTTCAGTTCGGTTTCATCTCAGATCCAGTCTCAGAGTGATTTCGACTTCGAAGTTCTCTCTCTCTCTCTCGATTTCGAAGCTTCACCGCCACCACCATCTGCATCGTTGACTAAGGTGAGCACACCGTCTACAATCTCAGTTTCGCATTCTCTCTCTCTCTCTCTCTCTCTCTCTCTCAAGCTCTTCGTTCGATCGATTCTTCTCCTAGGGTTTACATATGTTTAAGATTTCAGATCTGAGTTTTCTCATTCAAAAATATATGTTTGAGATCTGAGATTTCTCATTCAAAAATATGTTTGAGGTTTTGAAATTTCTTACTCTAGTTTTGTTCTTTTGATTGACTCAAAGCTAGATGATGATGTGGGAAATGTTGAAATGGAACTTTTCTTACTTTCGAAGTTTGTGAAATCTTCGGTTTCTTCATGTAGCGAAATACATCTAGATGCAGAACAGGTTCAAGCATAAGTTTAAAATAATTTGGGTTCTGTTTTACGTAGATTTTATATATGGCCAGTGGCCACCAAGAATTTGTTTCTTAGCTTATCGACAAAACAGAAGGAAACAAATGAAAATTTTGTGGATTTTACTGGTATTTTTGGGTGGAATGGAAATAATGATTGTAAAGTATTATTCCAAAATTTTCATCTTATTGGCAATTGAATCGGTATTATTTTGGAACAGAGCAATCATATCGTGGCACTAAAGGTGCTTTTCAAGAGCCAGCTGAAACAGTCTCAGGTTGAACATCAGCTTCGTCGTGAAGTTGAAATCCAAAGTCATCTCAGACACCCTAATATTTTACGCCTTTATGGATACTTCTATGATCAGGTATAGTTCATCTAGATTATCAAATTTCACAGCTTTTCCATGTAGTTAATCTGTTAACTTTTGTAGCCAACTGACTAATTACCCTTTTTTTCAACACAATTGTTGCAGAAACGAGTTTATTTGATATTGGAATATGCCGCCAAGGGTGAGCTGTACAAGGAGCTACAGAAGTGTAAATACTTTAGTGAAAGACGCTCTGCAACTGTGAGTTTCGACACTATGGTTTTCTTTGTTTGTTTATCTTCCATTTGGCTTGTCATTCTTATTACATATTATGTTTCGGAACCTTCCAACTGTGAGTAAATTTATAATTTTTTCCACAACTTGCATCATGAATTTAAGGGATACACTTCGATGCCACGGGCAACATGGTTGCCATTTTTCATTCTATCTATAGAAAACTTGTCATTTTTTTTTTTTTTGTGCATTGACTGTTATGCATTTTATTTTTTTTCAATTTTTTTTTTTTAGTGGAGAGTGTTGAGCATGATGCAAGTGTAGACATATGGAGCCTTGGTGTCCTCTGCTATGAGTTCCTTTATGGGGTTCCACCTTTTGAAGCAAATTGCTCTAGAAGTATTTTAAATTCACTTAGCCTTTGTTGTGGAAGATGATTTGGAGCTTTCTCCTCTATATTGCAAATTTTTAAGGGGTTTGATTGTTAATTATTACTACAATGCTTCAAATTTTAATCCTTCAATCTATGGGGCATCACTGCAGAGACCAAGGTTTGTTCCAGGTATCACTTTCTGACTTTGTTGCGTCTCTTGGTCCCTGTTTGGTAGCTCAGAAAATTTAATAATAGCAAAGAAAATGAGGTGTTGGCAACTGAACTTTTTCGTTACTTTAGACTTGACAAAACTGAAAAAGACAGCAGGTGGTTTTTTTTTGAAGTTTTAGAGGCCAAACCAAACACAAACATAAGATTTAGCATTCAATTTCTTTTTCCTTTCAAGGTTCTCTGCGACCACGGAGGTGATCATTGTTAATTGGGGTCACTTTGCCTTGAATTTTGATGATGGTTGCTGATTTGTGTTGATCAAGGTGTGGGAGTTTGACAGATTTAGATATACTATTAAATTTTTGGTTAAATGGGATTGAGTGAATCAATTTCCATTGAGACATTGAATGTGACCTAATTGTTTCAGTGTTTCATATGATGGACACAATTTCAAAATCTAGGAGTCCACTATTTTGTTTAATTGGTGCCATCTTTGAATCTTCTTGGAGCAAATTGCAAATGAACAAATATGTTTTGAGAAATAGAATTTTCACAGTCAACCATAACCTCGTCTATATGATCCTCATCAGTGCTTTAACAATAGTATCTACTGGTGCAATAGGATTGATGGATGGGGAATGCTTATTGATGTTCGAATATTTGCTTGACATAGGCTGATCAGCTCATGTTTAAGAGCTTTGCTGTTACAGATAAGGGATAATGAGCAAATTGATGGAAGGTATTATGTTGTGGATACATTGTTTTCTTTGTCTTTTGGTTTACGAAGATTTTGTGGTGCTTGATTCCCGATGTGATGTCCATTCTCTTCACTTACGTTGGAGATACTTGAGAGTCTGTCTTCTTTAATAGGTTCACCAAAGCATATTACCTACTTCTCCATGGGATGGGAGAGCACAGGTAACCTGTCCATCAACTTAGTTTTTCTTTTTTCCATCCTTTTCTTTAAGAGTATGTCCAAATCACTAATTTAATGCAACCACCAATGAGTTAACTGAATAGTCTTTATGATGTTATTGACCATCCAAGAGGAGTTTTAAAAATCTAGTTTTTGAATTCCGTTGTCCCGAAGTGTAGCAATTGGTCTTTTTGGGGGCTTAAAATAAATTTTTTTGCTCTCACTGGTCCTTGGTGTGTTCTTTCTTTCTTGACAGGTGTTATTTGGGAGTAGAGCTTCTCAAGTCTGGCAGTGAAGGAAGTGAAACCACCCTCAAAACCCTTTGGCATCACACAGATGCTATTATGTGCTGCTCTTTGAAGGTATGTGGCGTAATCCATTCTATTTCATGTTCATAGTTGTTTCACAAAGTTGGTTTTCAATTTCAAACTTAGGTTGCTTGTTTATGCTAAAACAGTCCTGCCTTTTATTTGAAGTCCCATTCTGTTGCAGCACTTTTGATTCTAGTGGATTGGTTTTATTTATTGAAGGTTGAGTTCATTCCAAAATTTAGTGTGAGGGCAATCTGGCAGAGATGGCGTGAATCATATCTGAAAGATGGGACTAAGGCGGATGATGCTATAATTGTGTTTACGGGAGTAAGTCGAGTATTTTATGGCATGAATTAAAATACTATGTTCTGTGTGGTTCAGTGATTGTTGTTTAGATTTGTGTGGTTCAGTGAGTATTTTATTTTGCATGCTAGATCTTTGCAAGGTAATCAACTCTCAGGAAAAATCTCATCAGTGATTGGCTTGATGCAGGCACTTGCTGTTCAAGTGTTGGCATTTGGTTTGTTTTGCTTATGGTCACTTTTTTAAAAGGAGAGGTATTTATAGTTGATTTAACATTTTTTAATCTTGTTGGCAGCAAAGTCTTGCTTCATGTCAAATGTTGTCACGTAACGTATTTTCAATTTTTTATTTTTATTTGTCTTATTTCTAGTGTGAACTCTCTCTCTCTCTCTCTCTCTCTTCTTTTTTTTCTTTTTTCTTTTTAGATGATCATTGCAATTTACAACTGAAAATTCTTAGATGGGTGAGGTTTGTAAATTGAGGCAGCAGTATTAGCTCTCAATATACCACATATATACTCTTGACTTGATCTCTGCTTGCTTCTCACCAACTATGGATTTTTTCAATTTCCTTCTCCACCGTCCCTTGTGCTAAATGTCCTTTCTACCACATGAAGATGCCAGAGAGACCTATTCATATGGTAGAGAGGGAATTTGGGATAGTGAGACAAGAAAAGGCAACAGGTAATCCTCAGCCCACTCCCTGCCTTTTTTGCTCTATGGCACAGTAATTTCCTTCTCTACTTTGTGTACTACTACATGCTATGCAGACATTGCATTATATGATAGCAACAAAATTGTCTTTCATGCTTGTTCTTTCATTGTCACGATAACACTTCTATGAGCATCTAGTGTTGAATTGTTGCTGATGTAGAACGTTTAGAAAACAGTATACATTCACCTAATGTATGATTACTTTGATGTTAGTTAAACATAACTCTATGCTTCATATCGTTACACATTATCTACACCAGAATTGATCATGCATAATTTTGGCTCAAATTATTAATCATGTTCAATTCTAAACTTTAAGTAGTCTTAATTAGAACTGAAGTTCCACTTGTAGTGACTCTAACCAGTATAGTTGATGGGTGTCATGCTTCAGGCTCTTGATCTAACTGTGGATCTGAGTGCCGCCAGTGCTGCTGCTGAAGAATGAATGAATGAATGAACTTTTTGGGTCACACATCCATCCCACAAGAACAGAGAGAATAGAGTTCAAAAGAACATTCCCTTTCCATGATGAAATTCTTTTGAATGCAAATGATAGCAGTCCTTAAAAACACATTCTGCACTTTCTCCACAAAAGACTTTTATTTATCATTCAATATTACAAGAAGAGATTCTTTTTTCTGGATTATACATTGGATTATTCAAGTATGGCTAAACTTTTCTAAGGGAGTAGCAACGGTTAAGAAAAAAACTAGAGGTACAGAAGATGCATTTGGCCATTGTTTGTTCCACACACAATATGCTTTTGTCACTTTAATTTTCATCCTCCCTTCTTTGTGATTGGCTATATGAATGCATTTTTTTTGTTTTTACTATATGTGTTCGGCATCTGAGAATGCTTTCAAAGGAATTCTGACCAGTCTTCCCAAGGCAGGAGGTGGTGAGTTTGGAAAGTTCTATAGCATACCAGCACTGAATAATCCAAGGATTGAAGAGTTAGTGCATTGAAGAGTTCTGCATTTTGGTTTTTTTATTAGAACATGATAATTGTTCTAATAATTGTTCATAACCTCTAAGATTGTAGGCCTATCTAGAAGCTTCCCATTATTTTTATTTCTAGGTTTTTCCTTTTTTTTTGGTTTTTGTTTATCACAATTTTTTTGTTAGCTCCAGCATCTACAGAAAAATTTCTGTACTTGCGCTAACTTGTAGGAATTGAAGTCAATTTATTCCATTGTTAGTTTATTTTATATTGTGAGCATGTGGTTGTGATTTATTCCATTTTCTTTTTTCTTTCTGTCACTATTCAGCCTTGGGAGGAAAGATTGAAGAGTGCACATGAGCAAGGAACACTTGTCCACCTTTCAAATTTGGATCCAGAATATACTTCAGGAGAAGCGGAGGTAATGTCCGTATTATTTGGCAAGATCGTATATTGTGCATGACTCCTGTGTCAGTTTTCTTTCGCAATTTTTATTGCACATCTAGATTTCTACAATGCTTCAATCAAGGGTGGGTGAATTTATCATCATTATTATTGTAATCGTATAGTAGGTGTTCTTTTGAAATTATGGAGAATATTCTTTTGGAGAAAAGTACTTCTAGTTTCACACTTTTGGTCTAGACATGGTCAAATGACCCCAATTTGGCAGAAATGCATAATCTACAGATTGTTCCCGCTTGATCTCCAATAATGTTTAATTTATTCCGCAGATGGCTCTTCCTACAATCATTGAGTGACATTAAGTGGGGAGTAATCAAGTTTTGTTTTATTTTTTTTGTTTTTATCATAGTTGATGACTACTAATGATGTACTTTGGGGTACCTAATGAAGTTCAAATACAAGACCTACATACTACATTTCTAAAACATATTCTTGCCATGGGATCATAAGCACCTTAAACAATATACTGTGACCCCCCACCCAATAGCACACAAATAGTCTCTACTTTCTCTACTGTCTCTATCAATTTTGAAAAATGTAGGTAATTCCAAATAAGGGGAACAAAATGTACTTAGTTCCCCTCAAACCTGTTCATTCCTAATCTCATACATCCCAAATGTTCAACTTCCACAGCTATGCCATCAACAACTCATTTCACAAGGCCTCTAGTGGGATATAATATTGTTATGAACAAGTAGCAACAATAAAGGCATAGAAAGACTTTTTTTTTTTTTAAATTCTGTCTCTTGATTCCTTGTTTGGCTAATGTGAATAAGATTCATTTACCATAAGTTAACATCTTGACAGCTCTTGATTCTTTGGCAAATCTGGATATATTTTGATGGTTTAGACTCTTTGAGGAAGAAGGGAGGCATTTCTTTTTTCTTTTTTCTTTTTTTGACATTTTTGCCAAAGAATGTCAAAAAGGTGGGAGTTTTTTTTTCTGTTCATTTTTTTTTTGGTTTTATTATGCTTTATGATACAAAAAATAATATGAAATTGGGGTTTGCATGTACGAGTTCCAGATACAATATGGACCAATTGGCTGGGCTGTAGGTGTGACTCTTGGATATGCACTGGCTGCACGAAATAAGCGAGTGATTGCTTCCATTGGTGATGGTAGCTTCCAGGTGATTATGCATACATTTCAATCTTCATTGTATATAATATAGTTTTGATTTTTGTAAATTCTCCTAATCTTATGAATACTGTATTGGATATACTTCCTACGTTGATGTTTGTATATCTTCATCTTATGTCACCTAGCATGCACAATATGAAGGATTATAAACTTAAGGGATTGCAATAATGGGATTTACTGCTCTGAATTTGTCCTTGTTAACACCTATTTTGGTGAATGCTTGGCTGGTGACAGCACAAGATGTGTCAACAATGCTGAGATGTGAACAGAGGACCATCATCTTCCTTGTAGAACCCGAGAATTTTTGTTTCTTAGTGGATGCTTTCATAGTACTTGCATGTATAATTAGTTTGAATTTTGTGCCGATTTGTTTTGTAATAATTTTTAACTTACCACTAGGCACTAGTTTAATTTTATTTCATCTCGGAATTGAAATATTTTTGCATATTGAGAAACATGAATTGATCTAGTATTATGTTTATCTAAATTTAGTCAATATATTATATATTTTTCATCTTTATAAAAGGTATTTTTTTTTAGTTAAATCTCACAGAACTAGCACAATTTTTTTTTAAATTTTTTTTAATAAAAAAATGAAGCTATAACGGCGTTTTTAAACGTCACTATAGAATACCAACGGTTATATTTTTAAAATAGAAAAGATCTATCACGGCGTTTTTAAAACGTCGCTAAATGTGGAGTGACGTCATTGTATCATTATGAAGCACATTTAGCGGCGTTTTAAAAAACGCCGCCTATACTTATATAGCGACGCTTTTAAAGCGTCATAAAGTTACAGCGACGGCGCATCTTCGGCGTTTGGTACTAAACGTCACAAAAACAATTAGCGGCGTTTTTGATACCTATGGCGGCGTTTTTGATACGCCACTAAAAGCTCAATTTCCAGCAGTGGTTATTTTATTACTTCACCATACTTATCGCCATTGTCACCTCCAATCGCCACTGGCCACCAGTGACAACTTTCCAGCAACTCTTCAGCACAATAAAATTTCTTTGATTTAGTGAAAATTTGTCATATTAAGTCAATAAAATTTCTTCAACTTAGTGAAAATTCACTAAGTCAATGAAATTTTACTATAAAATTCACAAATTTCTTAGCTGTAGGATGGTCTTTGTTGATCAACAAAATTTTTCTGTTCAAATGCAACACACTTTTTAATTATGAGGAAAATATGTAATAAAAAAAGTGTCAAAAACAAAATTTAACTAGATCACCAGCACAATACCAATTTTTAATATGAAAAATATCTTAATGTAAGGAAAATTTCAATCCAAATTATGAAATTTAATCTATGTTAATAGAGATAATTTTTTCTGTGTTTCAACACAGAAACAGAGAAAAACACAGTGATAGAAAATTATGTTTCAACACAGAGACATAGAGAAAATTTTGTATTTCAATATAGACAAAAATAGAGATAGAAATTTTGTGTCCGAACATAGAGAAAAACACAGAGACAAAGAAAATGACAAGAGAAATAGAGAAGGAGAGATAGAGAGAGAAGATGAGAAAAAAGAGATTTTAAACTCATACATAAGATGTGTGCACAAATCGGGGATGATGAAACAAATTGACCGGTGAGAAAGTAAAACATGCAAAAATCGGAGAAAGAGGCCGTCGGTGGTGGTGAGTGGCTGTAGTAGATGACAGAGCTTTAGTAGATGTGGTTTAGAGGGAGAGAAAACGAACAAATGCTGGTGGATGTGGTGACGACGCCGAAAATTTGGTAGAGGTAGTACTGAGATAGATTGTGAAGAAAGAGAGAGAGAGAGAGAGAGAGAGACGAATGATGAAAAATTAGAGAAAAAAATTAGGGTTTCTAAGATTAAAATGACATTTTGGTTCATATATGTCAAAGTTTGTCCTTATCCTTCTAAAATTTTAAATGTTAGGGATCTTAGCTACCAAACTAATTTTTGTTATCCTTAAATTCTTGCACAAACATATATGGATGACCTCTCTCTAATTATTCCAAATGAGAAATCGGTGTTACTCTTTTGATTTTTAAATTCTCCAAAATTATAATACTCTTTAATTTTAGATTTTTTAAAAATATTTTTTGAGTTTTTAATTCAATTTTTTTTGGATAATTTTTTAATTATTATTTTTTAATTTTTAGGGGTAATGTTACATCTACCAAATTTGGTCTCGTCCGAATTACCCAAATTTGTGCATGCCAGCCGTCCAGGCAGTCATCCAATAGATGCCGATTGACAAAGGTGATAGCTGGGAGTGATAAGGGTGACGCTAGTCATCCGGCTCACATAATTCTAGCAAGCTCAAATTTGGTGTATCAATCATTTTTCAATTTTCAGATCTATTTAATTTAGATATACTCACAAAATATAAAATTTGTGAAATTTATTTTTAAAAAGTTCAATAAATATAAAAAAATATAAAAATTTTAGTTTTTAAGAACATTTAGATTAGATACATCTAAAATATTAAAAAAAAAAATTGATTAAAATATGGAAAAGTTCACTAAAAATAACAAACACAGAAAACAAAAAACTCAAAAATTATTTTTAAAACTCAAAACTAAATACGTTTTACAACTTTGATATAATTATATTGAATTGTCTTAATATTTTAATTCACATAATACTTAACTCTATTTTTATCAGTAATTCCTTTGTCGTATAGATAAAAAATAATAATATTGTCATTTTCTAATGAAACATATATTTTATTTTATTTATTTTTGTATCTTCGTATTATTTGGATTTTCTTTGATCCCTTTATTCTTAGTAAAAGAAAAGTTGATTTAATTATACCAAAATTATAAGGATTAATGTATTTTTTCAAATTTGAGGGAGATCAGTGTAATTTACTGATTTTTTTTATATTTGTTTTACCATGGTTTATTTTGCTAAAAAACTAAAATAAAAGCTAGCTGGTTTAGCTAACATTTGTTGAATGCATAAAATTTTCGAATAACTAATTTTGCTTAGAAGTAAATAAATAAAAAATTTACTAAAATAATATTTGTCAGATCGTACTTCAATATGGCCTCACGGTACGATGTATGATTGGGGAATAGGATGGTCCTCTCAGCATGCCCATTTATAAAGTAAAATTTTAGATTTATTGATTAAATGAGCCAAATTTAGTAATATTTGTGATGATTTAAATAAGTATATTTTTTAATTTTTTACAAAAAATATGAAATATGAATTTAATTTGAAGTGATTTGATAAGAAAATAATTTAATTCAAATAAAAAAAGTAGAGAGAAAAGAGAATCTTTGACTTTTTGGTATGGGTTGTTGGTTTTTTGGCTAATTTAGTAACTTTTTGACTAATTGGCTAAAATAGCCTCTTGCCAAACGAGGCCTTGCTTAGAAGTAAATAAATAAAAAATTTACTAAAATAATATTTGTCAGATCGTACTTCAATATGGTCTCACGGTACGATGTATGATTGGGGAATAGGATGGCCCGCTCGGCATGCCCATTTATAAAGTAAAATTTTAGATTTATTGATTAAATGAGCCAAATTTAGTAATATTTGTGGTGATTTAAATAAGTATATTTTTTAATTTTTTACGAAAAATATGAAATATGAATTTAATTTGAAGCGATTTGATAAGAAAATAATCTAATTCAAATAAAATGATTATGATACAAATAATATAATGTGCTAAAATAATAAAAAATGGGTGGGCGTTTGAATTTCGTGGGTTGAAATTTGGGTTGAATTCGAAGAAAGGGAGAGAAGAGAAGAGAGGGAGCCGGGGTGCTGGTTCTGTCGACGTCCTTGTCTATATAAGAAGAAATTAAAATAAAAAACGAACAAACAAATTTCTTTAAGTCCTATCTTGAGGAATATAACCCTTCAAAAATGTTTGAAAAGTTTGGCATTGAGTTTTTTTCAATTGTTCATTTTTTTTTTAAATTTAAATTTGAAAAATCTATAAAAATTTATTAATTTTGAAAATTTGCTATTTTTTTAAAATTTTTATTTTTAGGTGATTGAAAAAATTTGAAGAAAATATATAAAAATCCTTACAGTTTTAACATAATTACATCGACTTCTTTTCTAATAAGATTAAATTAATTAAAAATAATACAAATGGTGTGAGAAGATAAAAGATAAATAAAGGTAAAACATACATTTTACTATAAAAAAAAAAATAATAACATAATTTCTTCTATTATAGAAGTAGCGAATTATTGATGAAAATGAAGCTAAATATTATGTGAAGGGTCAAGCTTCTCTTCAGTCTGAGATCAGACTGGATGTGCTGTTGGGCCCATAAGGGCCCACCATGGGTCTTGTTTCGATAATCTGAGTCGTTCAATGTGTAGAACTTGTTGAGTACTTTTTTTTAATAAAAAATAACGTTGATTGAATATTGATAACTATGTGATTGGATCAGATTTCTGTTAACGGTAAATATAATTTTTAAAATAAATTGTTAATAAAAATATGATCCAATCAAATAGCTATCAATATCCAATCCACGTGAGTTTTTACAGGAATAAAGTTCACAGGAATAAAGTACTGACGAGTTATATATATTGAACGGTTCATATTATCGAAACAAGGCACCGTCCAATCCACTTTGTGGACTAAAGACAAGCCTATCCCTTATGTGAATTAGATTAAATGCATCAAAAGAAATACATATGGTGTGAAGATATGAAGATGAACAAAGATAAAATATACATTTTACTATAAAAAATTAAAAGCATCATTTTTCTATCATATGAGTAGCGAATTACTAATAAAAACTAAGGCTAAATATTATGTGAATTAAAACTTCAAGAGTGGCTAATGTAATTATGTCAAACTTGTAGATCACATTTCCTCAAAAATTAAAAAGAGATGAGTATAATTTAACCATAAAATAATTA